TACTACAGAAAATGAAGAAGACAAGTTTTAACTAAAACAACAAGGTTTGATTTTCTTAGTATACATTTATTAATTAGTTTTAATCAAAAAAAATTTGCTCAGATGTTTTTTTTGTAACATTTTCTTTGAACACAACATGTCTCGGGACTTGGTGATCCCTTTAAACTTAATGGGCTATTTTTATTTTATTTTTAATTAAGACTCTGCGAGGGAAAACTTTTGATCCTTTTTGTTTTGTTTATTTTGAAACAAAACAAAAAGGATCATTTTTGTGTTACATAATTTATTGATGATCTCTTTCAAGAAAATATCAAAAGAACTTTTGCAATATTCATGTAATGTAAGTTAAAAACAACATGATAAAGTTTTTTTTTTTTAATTCAGTTTAAAAACTTAAGCTTTTCAATAATATATGCAAAAGAATATTAAATGTTACGTCTTTACATTTTACATTTTAAATTTGTGTAATGTAAGTTAAAACTACATGCATTTTATATGTGTGTGTGTGTATATATGTATATATATATATATATATATATATATATATATATATATATATATATATATATATATATATATATATATATATATATTAGCCCTTGGAATTAGGGTTGACATTCGTCAATGCTGACCTAACAGCCTACCTGAAAGTGTTTGAGTTTGACAAAAAATTGTTGACCTTATTTCTATGTTTTATGGTAACCCCCCTTTGTGTCAAATTTTTTTTTGCCAATTTGATGCTGACCTCTAACAGTTTGAGATCAGCAATTTATTGCCGACCTTATTTTTCCTAATACCAAGGAATATATATATATATATATATATATATATATATATATATATATATATATATATATATATATATATATATATATATATATATATATATATGTATATATATATATATATATATATATATATATATATATATATATACACAGTATGCAAAAAAAATCATAGTTTTAAAGATTGCATCAAAAAAGTTAATTTTCCTTTAAAATATTAAAAAAAAAATTTCATATCTCTTTATCAAGTATTGTTTTAAGAATTTATTCATGTATTAGTGAATTAATTGCTTTTTAAACCTACTGAAAATTATCTAATATTTATCTAAAATTAATTGCTTTTTAAACCTATTTAAAAGAGTTGCGCAATAAAATACTATTTTACACAATTGAATTACTGAATTTTACACAATTGATCTAATGATGCATAAAACTGCAAAAAAATTAGTTGCACGCTAACAAAATAGGTCCTTATTGAAAAATAGGTCTTTATTGCGTAAATGGACCAAATTGGTCAATCTAACTAGTAAGTATTATTGAAAATAGTAATTTTTAAATTAAAAATAATTTTTTACTTTCATCCTAGAAATAAAATAATTTTAACTTTCCACCAATGAAGCTTCATAGTCGATTTGTAAAATCAAGGAAATTCCTATTGTCAGATTCAAGAGAAACAGGAATTCCTTTTACAACTGTGTCCTCAATTGTTAAGAAGCATAGTCTGATTGAAACCATTGCTTGTATGGCTGGTAGAGGACAAAAACGCCAGCCCACCAGTGCAATTGATCGAAATATAATCATTAATGTGAAGAAAAATAGATTTGTTTCAGCTAAATTAATTAGCTTTAAAAATCTAAATTAGCTTTAAAAATTCAAGAAGATCACAACATCACAGTGACTCCTCAAACAATCAAAAATCGTATTAGAGAGCAAGGATATATAGGTAGAGTAGTTGGAAAAAAAACTTTTTTAACTTCTAAACAAATGAAATGTTTATTGAAATTTGCAAATAAGTACGAAATAATGTGGATATCATATTGGAAAAAAAATTTTGTGATCATATGAGTCAAAATACAACCTCATCTCATCAGATGGAGTCCAGAAAGTCTGGCAAAAAAAAAAAGAGAAACTTATTAAGTTGTTTGTGAGTTAGTGTAAAGCATGGAGGAGGAAATGTGTTGGTTTGGGGTAGTTTGAGTTAGAAAGGAGTGGGGAAATTGACATTTATTGATGACAAAATGGAATTTTCAATGTATTGTGAAATTCTCAAAGCCAACTTGCAACCATCTTGTAAAAAATTGAGAAAGGGAAACGATTTCATACTCCAGCAGGATAATGATCTAAAACATACCACTAAGATAATGAAGGTATACTTTGACACAACTAATATCAATGTTTTGGAATGGCCATCTCAAAGTCTGGACTTGAATCCAATAGGAAATTATATTTTAGACAGAAAAATTGGCGACCTAGCATTTAGATGCTAGGTCGAAGACAACTTTAAAGAAGCTATAATGAGCCTATGGAATAATATAACAACAGAAGACACCCAAAATTTGGTTAACTGGATGCCAAATCATCTAGCTAAGGCTATTAAGGCCAAAAGAGACCCCATTTGATACTAATTTCCATGGAATTTAATCAATTTGACATTAGTTTTGAACTGTATGATTTTTTTTTTTTTACATTTAATTTTATGCATCATTAGATCAATTGTTTAAAGTTCAGTAGGTTTGAAAAGTAATTAATTCACCAACACACAAATAAATTTTTAAAACAATACTATAATATATATATATATATATATATATATATATATATATATATATATATATATATATATCAGGGCTTGTGACGAATAAAATCGTCAAGCATGTTATATCGCGCTCATAAAATTAAAATATGTTTTCATCGAGCGTGATTATGTGCGCTCGAGATAACGTCGACGAGCGCGATCATGAAAATTACTGAAGAAGATCTTTTTTTATTTGTTACATCATTTTTTCGTCGACAAATGTTATAATTAGTATCACACTCATGAATTAACACTCTTCTATATTGTCAGATCGGGATTTTTTTTTAACTATTTATGTTATAAAAAAATATATATCAAACAAAAACGCAACTTCTTGTTGATTTAGTATTGAAGTATAATTTAGTGACTTTTTTATAATTTAGTGCCTTTTTTTGTTTTGTTGTTTTGATATATGTATTTAAAAATAGTTTTTATATTTCTTGATATTTTTTATTTAAATTAATTTATTTCTAAAATTTCTTTTTTAAATTACGATTTTTTTATCTTAAAAAAATAACACAAGAAAGTTTGAAAATCTTCTTTTTTTTTAAACTATTCATAATAGGTTAAATAACAGATTTTCCCCTCAACTGTTGTCAACGGTGTTTCCTCTTCTACATTTTCGAAACTGAATGCAGCTAATTCGTCACTCATATCTGGTAACTTCAGTTCTAAAGCCTCTTGAACTTTCCATTTAATAAATGTTGACAACATTACTTTGTTTCCTTTTGGAATGTCATTGATTGCGGACATTCTAAACAACAGAATCGTTTTAAATTTGAGTTAAAATAAATAATAGTTAATAAAAAACTTATACTATAAACAAAAACTAATTTAAAAAATTACTGAATCATTATTATTTATTTTTATTATAAACGATGTATGGAATATTACAAACAATAAATCAAATAAATCTTACTTGATGTTTTCACAAGATTAAAAATATTCTGCAGTTTCAATTTTCTTATAATGATTTACTAATTTTTTATTATTTTATTTGTGCATTTTTGTATTTGCATTGAATTTCTACATGCACATTCCATCAATGAAATTAGTGCCTATTAACGACTTCAAACTGCTCATTCATTAGGTTAGTGCAAAAAGAACAACGTAGTGCTTTTTTTATTTTATATTATATTAGTGCTTCGATAATATAAAATCTTTATTAAAAAATCTTTTTTTCATATTTTATGAAAATAAAAAAAAAAGTTATTATTTGTTTTGCCCCGAACTCTTGGACGAGCGTTATTTTATACGCTCGTTATAAGCTGAACGAGCGTTGTTTATTGCGCCTGGAATGTTTCAAAATACCATTTACGGGCGCATTTCACGAGCGGAGCGCGATCACGCTCAAATTCATCACAAGCCCTGTATATATATATATATATATATATATATATATATATATATATATATATATATATATATATATATATATATATATATATATATATATATATATATATATATATATATATATATATATATATATATATATATAGTATTTTTCTTCAACAACTTGTTTCTCCATTGGTAGTTTCATCAGGTAGCATCATCTTCCTGATGAACCTACTAATAAAACAAGTTGTTGAAGAAAAATATTAGATAAGTGTTTTTACTGATTTGTTATTGCTCTGTTTTTTAAGAACATTGAGTACTCTATTTTATGAATACACTAACATAATTTATATACATATGTATATATATATATGTGCATATATGTATGTATATATGTATGTAGATAAATATATGTATGTATCAGCACTCAAAATAGTTTTTCAAAACCGATCAAATGTAATTTTTTCACAAAAACAGGTTATCTTCTCTTGAATTTTTCAAAATTTCACTAAAAATAGCTGATCGTTGATCGGCCGTTATTTTGAGCACTATATATATATATATATATATATATATATATATATATATATATATATATATATATATATATATATATATATATATATATATATATATATATATATATATATATATATATATATATATATAAATATATATATATATATATATATATATATATATATTATATATATATATATATTATATATATATATATATATATATATATATATATATATATATATATACATATATATATATATATATATATATATATATATATATATATATATATATATATATATATATATATATATATATATATATATATATATATATATATATATATTCACACACACTGTTGTAAAAGAGTGTGTGTGAGTGTGATTTGTGATTTATTTGAGTTGGTTATATTAATCCTTTGCTTCTATATTGTATATCTCATATATATATATGTATTCTGAGTATAAATAAATATGCATATAATATTTATAATTTAATTCTAAATTGTTCTATTTTTGTTGCGTTCTTGTTATATGTTTTTGTGTTTTTCACACTTTTAG